AAAAGTGTGCTTGCGAAGGGAACGGCTGCGCCGGGCATGCGAGAGTGGCAAGCTTGCTCGACAGTATAATACTACTACTAGGACTACTACTACTACTACTATTACAAGCCTCTCGGCTGAGAGGGCGCTGATGCGCCGATGCAGGATAGGGACGATCCGTGTGCTCGGAATAACCATGAATTTCCGGATGCGGTCCCTCTGCCTTGCAGTACAGACGCTTTTGAGCCTGGTGCAGATGAAGCACCTGCCTACGACAAGATCTGGAACCCCTGCTGTAACAAGATCCCAGTTAGCCCATTGGACCAGCACGCCCGGGAGATCTTCAGCTGCTCTCAGCGCCGACAACACTGGCTGGCGCGCCTTGGCGAAAGCATGCTCCGAAGAGCTGGAGGGTACTTGCAAGACCCAGGATACTTTGATAGCTTCGATGTTGAACACCTGGCCTCACATCATGGAATCTCCTTGTGGGCGGCCAGGAGGTCGCCATACCCACCGTGCGAATTGGAGTTATGGCTTTGGGCTCGGCTGTACTACCCTGCCATTGTACGACACCTCTGGCCCAGTGGCACTCCCCGGGTGGTGGAATTTCACACCATGGACTGAGCTATGGAGCAGCGAGCTTCCCCCTGGATGCCAAGCAAGTAGTGCGACTATATCGCCAGACTACGGCCGCACGGGCAGATTATGGCGACTTAGGCCTCAAGCCAGGACCCATGTACACAAGCGCCGCAGACCTAGGAAGTGTGGCCAGAGACTTCGCGTCTTGATTCACAGGATCATCCAAGTGCTCGGAGGGGGATCGGACACCGCCTTCCTTTCCAAGCGGTGCCGTTTCAGGTTTATAGCACAGTCACATGTCGAGATCGGAGTGCGGCTGTTGCACTGGCTTGCCTTGAAGCCTGTTGCCTTGAAGCCTGTTCGCATCTCTTCCTGGATGTCTGGTAGGGCTCAAGCTGAAGCTGGATCGAGGATCATGGCCACGGAGGCGGCAATGGAAAGCTCGGATGAATCCTCGGCCCCATCCAGGACAGGAACGGGGACACGCAGCCCTCCGAGGGGACCTCCGCCGCCACAGCCGATCCAGGCCCTGGCACCGCTGTCGCACAGGTTATCCAGTGCGATCGGGCAGGCCTTGCGGGAGTCAGGTCTGGACCCACAGTGGGTCCTGACACATGTCCCATGGGACTGGCAGCAGTTCACCTCGGTCACGGTCCGCATCGAGCACTTACGCCACAACGACCAGGTGCACCCGAACATCCTCTTCGTTGGGGATGACGTCGACACCATCGGCCCGGACGCCCCTTCTTCGTCGGCGGCTATAGCGGTGCAAATGGAAGCAGAGGGCAGGGCGAGGATGACAGCGGCTGAGGTCGAACGGCTCCATGTGGAAGAGGCCTTTGACAGGCTGGAAAGTGACTTGGCCTTCGCAGAGCTCATGGCCGAGGACGACGAAGAGGAGGCAGAGGAGGATCAAGATGGACATGTCGACCCAGCGCCTCCCACTTCGGCTTCGGCTACGACGACCTCCGCTCCGGCGACCTCTTCTACGGGCCGCGTACCACTGCCCCCAGGACCACCACCAGGATGGCGAGGACCGGTTCAACCACCAGGCCCTCCACCGGGATGGCGAGCTCTCGATCCGGACTCCGAGGCGACCGCGCCGAAGGCTACGGCACCGAAGGCGAAGGCTACGGCACCGAAGGCTACGGCTACGGCACCGAAGGCTACACCTGGCAGAAAGTGTGGATCCTACCTTGAATGCAAGTACGGCGTTGCAACATGTCTCGGTTCCATATTTTCATGCATTGGAAGCATTCTCTTTGACTTAGGCGCCGCCGCACAGGCTGAGAGACGCCGAGCCTTGAGAATGGTAGATATAGGTCCCTGGGATCCTGGTCCCCTTGTCACAGAAGTCAGGACTGGGTGTTTGGCTCTCGCGGGGGCAAAGGTCCTCATCGACCGAACAGACAAAGACAGTATCATTGGCGGGCAGCCTTGGATGAAAACAACAGGGCTCTACAGCGCGCTTGCAATCGGCATGTACGTGATACTGTTCTACCTCTACATGTCTCCCATCCTACCCAGCTCTATGACGGCCAGGTACACTATCACGACCTCCCCGGACTCGGCTTCAGGAACCCCACTCAGCTCCACGCAGGCGGGTTCACCATCAAGAAGCTTGAGCCAAACATGTGTGCGCCGTCACAGGTCCAAAGGGACGGGCTTTCTCCGCTCCGCTACAATGCAGCAGGACACAATATTTCACCAGATCAGCTTCCTGTACCAGACTCTGCAATCTGCACTGGCAGGATACATCAGCAAGGCGTCTCTCTCAGGTTGGGCCAGTCCCAAGTCTGGCCGTGTGCACAGGACGATCTCTCCGAAGCTGCTGTTTGCCTTACTCTTCTTATCCAACATGCAAGCAGCCCGCTCAGTGCACACAGAGGTGAGGGTTGGCATCGACCCCGCTAGGATGCCTGAAGTTTCGACAAAGATTGCGGGTACCAGGGAGGCCGAATGGCCCAATTACGCAGACAGTACCAGAATCAAACGCACGTACAAACGTGCATTCTCCCGTGCCTGCAGGAACGGCGGGGCGTACTACAAAGGAGTGTGGCGAGAACATCAGTGGTTCCGGCCGGTGCCGATCAAAACCCACTCACTACCCAGGACACATCGGCCGTCAGACTGCAAGCCGAACGGAAGGCCGCTTCGAATACTTACATGGAACGCTGGAGGCCTTCATGCACAGATTCTTCGCGAGGTCGAGACCTACGCCACAGATGTGGCATTGGACATTTGCGTCCTTCAAGAAACGCGGTGGGCCTACGATGCGAATTGGAGTACCCCAGACTTCCATTTCATCCACTCGGCAGGTGCAGCCTCCGAGGACAAAGTCGGGGGGCTACTGACCATGGTCTCGACTCGACTTGCCAAGTCCTCAGAGATACAGTTCCATGCGGCACATCCGGGCCGGCTTCTACATGTCAGAATCAATCGATCCCATCCCATCGACGTAATGAACGTCTATCAGTACACTGCCAACGATCACAAGCTCACTCCTGCACGCAGGCAGCAGTTCCTCACGAAGCTCCAGAAGACTCTCCGAGGCGTCCCCAATAGACATGTTCTGGTCCTTGCTGGAGACTTTAATACTACATGTACCACCATGGAAAAGGTCTGTGGCAGATGGACTATGCTATCTCGGGAACATCACAACAAGGAGTCCGAGGACCTCATGGCAATCCTCTCAGCTTTTGCTTTGACCGTTCTGAATACGTGGAACAGGCCGACACACAGGCAGCTCGCAACCTTTACGTTCGGAGAGCTTTCTTCGCAGATAGACTACATTATGTGTCGACAAACACAGGCCAACAGCAGAGCCAAGCAAGCTGAAATCTTGCCTCAATTCCCGGTAGCATGTTGGAGAGACGGGGCGAAACACCACCCGGTGCACACGCTGCTGGAGGTTCCTCACTTTGTGAATCGAGGATCACAAAATCCTACACGACCTAAACTAGACTCAGCGAAGCTGATTGCGGACATCAGGTCTTCTGCCGTCTCCGGGGCACTCGCGGATCTCAGACAACAGGTCCAGCAGAAGCTCGCTGCTCAAAGTTGGACCAGCTTGCAGCAACTGGAGGAGGGCATCACCGACATAGCGACCAAGCTCTACCCAGTATCGCCCGTTGGCACCTCAGACGAGGCAGTCCGCCAAGACCTACATGACCGGGCAAGGCATATGTGGGGTTTGTTTCGAAGTATGCGCTCACAAAAATTCACGGCGCAAGGTGTGGTCACAGCATGGAGATTATGGGCTCAATTCGTGCAGGCACACCGAGCCCACAAACGGAAGGCCAAAGCCAAAAGCAAAGCCTATAAGCAGGACTTGTTGGACACGGCTCAGCAAGCTGCGCGGCGAGGCGACATGCACCAGGTGTGGAAGGTGGTGCACACACTTGCTCCGAAGGTCCGGCGCAAGCCCTTGCAGCTTTATCGGGACGGACACATCATGACCCCGGAAGCGGAACTGGATTGGATCATAGAGGCCTTCGGGGAGCGATATGGAGCCAGAGCACCTCCTCAAACCACCCGAGCACGGCAGTTCCCACCAGTTCAGGTCTCCGAGGCGGAAGTATGGCATCAACTCGAGCATCTCCCGGTCCGCAAGGCTGTACCACGATCGGCTGCACCCTCGGTCCTATGGCGGGCTTGTTCATCGGAGATTGCACATTTCATTACTCAGCAGTTCAATCTTCAATGGCAGCAACCGGATCTACAAGTTGAGCAGGATTGGGCCGATGCCTCTGTTGCACTTCTCCCTAAGCCAAAGGGTAAAAATGACAAACCGCTGGAATGGAGGCCAATCGGCCTACAACATCCCATCGGGAAAGGACTGATGAAGATCCTCATCACCAGGGCCAAGGACCAGATTCACCAGCTTGTGTATTCCTGGCCTCAATGTGCTTACGTTCCACATCGGAACACTTTTACAGCACTAAAACGAGTCCTCAATCATTGTAGATATGTTAGAGATCAAGCAGCGAGCCATCGACTCACTGTACATCAGCAACATGCAGGAGTACAACAGATCCACAACAGTGGGGGACTACAAATATGTATGGACCTCACGGCTGCTTTTGACTTAGTCTCTTGGAGTGCTGTTCGTGAGGCGCTGGAGCTCGCACAGATCGACCCCTCAATTCAGGAGGTACTTATGCAATGGTTAAGCCAGGTCAAGTACATCTTTCGCCACAAACAACATGAGAAGGAAATCTGGCCCAGTTGGGGCCTGCGACAGGGATGCATCGGAAGTCCGGTGCTCTGGTCGGCTTTCACAGCTTTACTTTGCAAAGCTATAGATTTGCGCATGAGGCAATCATGGTGCTCAGATCATGCCACTTTGTACGCTGACGACAGCCACCTTCGCTGGACCTTCCAGACCGTAGCCCAGTTTGAGCAGGCTATTTGCGAGCTCAATTGGACATTCGCTGTCTTCAGGAGACTGGGCATGCAGGTCAACCGGGAAAAGACACAGGCCATTCTTTCAGTCACGGGTGACATCCGTCACAAAATACAGAAGCTGTATGTGCGGAAGCAGGATGGTATTCGTCGACTACTACTATCCCCGGGAGACCCCACTGAGTGGATCCCTCTGGTGGACAAAGCGGAGTACTTAGGCCTCATCGTATCCTATGAACAGTTTGAGTGGCAGTCGGTGAGACATAGAGTCGTCAAGGCACACAAGCGACGCTGGGCCTTGGCATCGCTTCTGCATGCCAAACGCGTGTCCATCCCTTATAAACTTCGCTTATGGCGAAGCTGTGTTCAGTCTTCCATGATGTACGCACTACATTGTCTTTGTCTACAAACAGGGCAAATTCGATATCTACAACGTGCTATCATGAAGCACATCAGGGCCATCACCTCAGACCAGGCCTTCCTCACGGGCAACACACATGAATTTATCTCGGCCAAATACGAGGTCCAATCAGCTCATGATCTTCTGAGACAGGCTCATGCAAGTGAGCTTAAGGTGGCTGGCCTGGGAGACTGGATCCTTGAACATGACTACAATCAGGCCATCAGTCACAGCCTACAGGAGGATATCACGCATCAGGTGCAGGACTCAGACGAGGAATCCCATGCATGGACCTGCCCGGTTTGCATGGAGCAGTTCCCCACAACAGCGGCTTTGAAGATACACGCTAGAAGAAAGCACAAGTTGGTCGATCGTCCAGCTCAGGTATTCGACCGCACCAAACACTCGATAGCGGGTCTTCCACAGTGCTCGGGATGTTTGAAAAAGTTCAGCAGATGGCAGACTCTTGAGTGGCATATCAATCATCATGCGTGTCCGGCCATGAAGTTCGCTGCAGAGCAGAATAAGACAGCTATGCCAACACAGACTGACACATCCAATGCTCAGTCCAGCCAGCCTGACCAGCCCCTCGGCTACCAGGCTCAGAGTTCCGAGGATCGAGAGATCACTACACTGACACAGCCAGTTGATGATGCTTCCGAGCAGCTTCCCATGATTCAAAGATCACATGTACAACATCTGGTTGAACAGGGGCCCAATAGCTTCATTCGATTCTCTTCGTATACTGATCACATGCAGCACTACTGCGTCATTTGTGGACAATGGGTCGTGTCACAACGTGTTATGAAGCTCCACTTCCAGAACACACATGGTGACTTGTACAAACAGCTCAGCAAGATAGCCAAGCGGATCATCGATCAGCGAGCCACTCCGTGTAGCACGTGCCATTACTGCCAGAGACAGGCTAAGGACTGGAGGGCGCATCTTCTGAAATGCACGTCCCTTTGGCAAATTGCCTTCATGTGCGCGTTTCATGAGATGATCACGGCTGCAGGAACGACCGATGGACGAGGACATGGAGGCTTTCTTTGGCGGGGTCAGGGACGCACGGCACACCAGTCCGTTTCCGCCGGATCCCTTCCAAGACTACTCAGCGGAGAGCCAGCTGGACAATGGGCCCAACAAAAGGCGACGAGAACCTTTTGCGAGCAACAAGCATCAGCCACACTCGCACGGTCGGAGCCCCTTCAGCCACTACAACCAGGCCCCGATGCCCACGCAGCACAGAGATCCATTACTTCATACTTTAACAAAAACAGTGCTGCGCCAACAAGAAGAACTACGAATCCTACGTCAAGATACAGCCTTCATCATTTTCCTGAAGCCGGGGCAGGACTCAATCATGCACCACCTGTACCAAGTTGCGGTACAGTTCAAGGCGAGGCAAGAAGCGGAGCCAACTTGGTCTTTGGGTCAGTTCCCACTTCGTATGGTGTTGGCCAATGCCCTCTTCCGGGAGCTCATCGACAGGCTGAACAAAGTCCTGGCCTCACAGGATCGCCTCAAAGCGGTCATGGAACAAGGCTGGCGGGACGACAAAGGATGGAGATTCCAAGCATGGAATCGAACCATGCGTCACCTCGAGCACGACAGGAACAGGCCATCCATCCCGGACGACAAACTCCTGGATCACCTGGCCACCATCACCCAGTGTCTGAAAGCAGTCATTATCACTCGCTTTTGCTGCACCCGCAAAATGACGGAGACGATGTCGTCTCCGGCGACATTCAAGATGGACATATCATTGCGCAGCCACAGTGCATTGACCATGTGGGACACCATGAGGGCTCTCCAGGGGAATGCAGTCTTTCAGCTAGTGGGCATGGGATTCAAGACGGAGTCTCTGGGCAGAGGCCCGGAGGAGCAAAGGCTCAGGGACATGGTCTTCGGCCGACGCTGAGTGCTCCAAGTGCTCCGTCGTCTACAACCTCGGCTCCCGACGTCCTAAGGTTCGTCTTTGTTAATCGTTCCTCCATCTGCTACATGAACTCTACCGTGCAGGTTCTTCTATGGCTTCTTTGTCAACTTCCTGTTCCTGCGGATGTTACTACCGGTCCGGGCCTTGAGTTCATCCGCTCTACGCTTCGTCTCAGTGCTGGTACCAGGATTGATTTGATGACGAATGCACAATGGTGCTCTCTACTACACGGATGGGGTGAGGCGCATCGCCAACATGACGTTTGCGAATTTATGTCTTTTCTCTTTCAAGCTGATGATTGTGGTCTTTTCACAGGCTCATGGCAGGCAAGATCACCAGCCATGGCGGGGGTATCCAGTCGTCTGGATGAGGGGCTCTGCTCTCAGCCGATACTGTTACATCTGCCCGCCCGGAGCAAGACGCTACTTAGGGCTCAAGCTCTTCTGGACGATTGGCATCGGAGCCTGGATCGCTTTCATGCACTATGTGTCGCACCCCCAGCTCTCTTGCTCCAGCTTCACAGATTCGAATACAGAGGAGGCAGAATCCACAAAAGCCACATCAAGGTCATGCCAGATCTGGAGATCCGGGTGCCTGTTTTCACTGGGGAAGGCCACTCTACTCGATCCCAGAGATACCAGCTCAGGGCTTTCATAGAACATCATGGTGAAGAGCCTTCCTCGGGGCATTATACAGCTTCGCTGCTCCAAGAGGACAAGCTCTGGAGTTGTGATGACGGGAGAGCGGCAAAATCCTTTCCGGCACTCAAGGCCACTCATTATAAACAATGCTATGTCCTGCTTTATATCTTGGCCGTAGACCGGGAAGGATCGCAATAGTTTCTGGAAGTGTACATGCTTCTATGGCCCTCCGGGGCGGTGTGCACTTGTCTGCGGGGTGATCAACGTATCACGAGTCTACGACTCCGGGCAAAACGCCTGCTCACGATATTCCCTACGCTAGGCGACCGGACGTCCGCGCTGCGTGCAATGCTCAATGCTACTACTATTACTACTATTACTACTACTACTACGACTACAACTACTAGTAGTTTTACTACCACTACTACTACTACTACTACTACTACTACTACTACTACTAGTAGATTTACTACCACTACTACTACTACTACTACCACTACTACTAATTACTACCACTAGTACTACTAGTACTAGTACTAGTACTACTACTACTACTACTACTACTACTACTACTAGGGTCTACTACTACTACTACTACTACTACTACTAGTACTCCTCCTACTACTACTGCTATTACTACTACTACTACTACTACTACTACTACTACTCTGTCTGCAAATATTTTTTTGATGCTTAACAATTTTTTTTTATGGCCGCAGGGTCAAATTTTTTTGATGTCTATCAAATTTGTTTTAGATGCTTCACCCGGTGCCCTGCCACCGCATGAAGCAGAGTAGGTGATCGGACGGTTGGAAGTTTTTCCACCCCTGCCAGGATGTAAAGGTTGCGCTCCACGACGTGGGCGATCGTTGCAGGATCCAGCTGGCTGCGTGCTGTAACCGGGGGCGTAGCTTGATCTCTCCCTGCCAGGAAATTAACTGAGGAGGATCTTCCTCTGCCGCTGTTGGGTCTCGGTCACGATGCCGCTCTGCACAGTGGGGCCTTAAACACCGTGTCGGAGTCGCTGTTCTTGGCTGCCATTGGCTTGTGGACTCCCGTGCACTGCATCCGAGGAGGCGAAAAATAAGAACAATCGCGACGTTGACCCTGACGATGAGACTGGCTTCTGCTAGCCTCGTGCTTTGTTAATGACTGCCATTGGCGTGGCCTTTGTACAGGGCAAGGCGACAAGCAGAGTTGTCGAGTTTTGCCAGCATCTCCATGAGATCACCGGTCATGCTCAGTGGTAGACGAAATGTCGATTATTTTTCTGCCGCATGGTGTGATAGGGACGCACACAGAAACTACATGTGGGAGGAACTCAAGCGTTGCTGCTTTGCCCTTTGCTCCCAAAGGCCATGTGTTCCTGGATGCCAAAATGCATGAATCGCGCAACGACACCGTCCGCTGTAGCTGCATGAGTTATACTTTAACCTGGCTGCCGGGTAGCGAGAAGAAGCCATGGGGTCCGATGACAGCGAGAGCGAGGAGCAAGAGGAGCGACACCGATGTCACCCTCGGGAGATCACAAGAGTGTTTTCCCTTTGGTTAAGCCTTGTTCACTCTTGTAGGGATGCCATGTTTCTTTTGAATTTCAGGGCTTCCGGCAATCGGTCCGCAACATAGGATCCGTCTTGTGCAGCGCTCGCTGACATCCACCACAGCCATAGGAGCGAAAAGAACGACGTGGCGAAAAGCGTGATCGGGAGGAGCGCCACGAGAAGGCCATGGACGGGGCCAGCCCAAGCTTTTTCGGAATGGACGGAGTGTCAAATCGCATCGGTTGCCACTGCCGAGCCGTGGTTTCAAACTGGGCTTCAAAAGCTGATGTGCGCTGGCTTAATGTTGATCTCTGAAGCAAGGAGGACCGCGACCGAGATCGCGATCGCGACCGTGACCGGGACCGAGACCGTGATCGTGATCGCGAAAAAGGCAAATCGAGCAAAGTACTTCTTGTGAATCCCCGTAGGAGTCAATTTGTGAGAGCGGCTGTGACTGCCAGGCCAGGCAGCCGGGGCTCTGAGGAATTTCACTGGCGCCATGGCAGCTTCCGTGGCATCCGCAGCTCGCACGGAGCGCACTGGAGAGCGCGCGGCACCATATGGCGAGGCACCTGCTAAAGGCCGCCTACTTGCATGAGTAGTCTGAGTAGTCGAAGTCGGGAGTTTGCCTCATAGTTGCGCATATGGAGGCCGTGGCAAACAGGCGATCCTTCCACCTCCGCGAAAGACGTTGGACCGCTCGCGTACATGTCCGTTCCTGTCAGACTCTCGGGCCCAGCGGCACAGCTCAGAGTCGTTGCGTCCCTTGTGAAATGTAGCTGCCGAGGCTTCGGATCTTCCGGAAAATAGGCCAGATCTCATTCTGCTTGAATTCTAGGGAAAGCTGTTCCCGCGTCATGGGGTGTTGCGCGGCACGTAGAGACCGACCCTGTTAGGCGAGCATCACGGCATTCAGGCTGGGCTGCATGTCCATGTCCATGTCTGGTGTGTTTCTGCCTGTAATGGTCGTGTCAGTAGTACACAAGGAAGTACAGGTTGCTTGCGGAGAGCCACGGGCAGGCGTTCACGGAGCGCGGCAAGGAACCGGTCCATGACGAGCTGCAGGCCCTGCCTTTTCTCTCCGACTGGTTTTGGCAGGACCATTTTGGCACACGGCTTTGCAAAGGGCAAAATTGATGGCAGGTGTACGCCTGGCCAGACGTGACACTTCGAGAGTGCTTTGGCTGATGGCTTGAGAGCCTGATATGCTTCATTTAGGGTTTAGGGATGTGTGGGGTCAAGGCGAACAATCTTGGGGCCAGATACACCCGATCTCGCCGAGTCAGAAGCATGTCTTGTGGCTCCAGGTTAGCGGACCTGATCAAGGACGTGGCACCAGAGGCGCGGGACCCCAAGGTGAGGCTGGCCTTCAACCTGATCTACCCTGCCGGAGCCCAAGCATTCCGAGGCCATGCTCGAAACCGAAGCTCTGCTACAGAGACACCGTGTCCAGTCGAGCTGTGAAGAGCGAAGACTATAGTACTGCCCGCAACTGTCTGCAAACCAGCAACTAAGCAGCTTCAACAATAACAGCACGCTTACTGTCGAAGCTTAGCCTCTGAGCCGCAGAACAGTGCCTGAAACCCCGGCCGCGAAGGACAAGACTGGAAAGAACGTTAGCACCAACCTGGGCACGGTCACCTGCGCGCGACGCGGTCCCGATGATGACAAGGCCCGGCCTTTGCTTCGTCTGCTCTTCGGGCTTTGTGTTCGTGGGCCTGTCGTTTTGATCGAGTCCAGCTGGGCAGCACAGCTTTGAAAACTCGAGGGGTTCAGGTGCCTCTAAGATGGTATTCTTCGCTTGGCAGGCTGTCATGGGAATGCATCATACAACTTCCCAAGTGGCACGTAGAGGTAGTAGAGGGATGCAGGACTACCTAACCAGCTTGCTTACTGTTGAGGCGCTGTCGTCGTCGAAGTTCCAAACAGGCTGCGGGACAGCAGAGAAGCAGGTGTGTGTTGATGCCACAACTCGACCGTTTATGTGCTGCAGGTGATCTGTTGGACCTGGCCATCCTGAAGTGACCTCTTCAGTTTGAGGGCCGTGGACCGGCACAGGAGCAGAAGCGTGTCCTACGTGTAAATTTGGAGAATGTTTTGGATGGAATTTTGCTCGGCAGAGCGGTCCTCGGCAGAGTCGGGAAGCCTGGCGGCTTTCCCCATATAGTGCAAAGCCTGGATATACAGAGCACACTGTTGGACGGCAAGGTGTCCCACACCAGTGACGCACGAGCTGGGACAACCACCATCCGAGCTGTCACTCCATTAAAAGGCGTCTTGAAAAGGTAGTCAGCTCTTTGGCCACAGGCACAAATACGGGAGACTTCATATTTTGAGGGCTTAGCTTCGTGCCCAAAGCTGATTCGGCGGTTCTGCTCCGCTGTGGCGCCTCGGCTCGAGCTGGATACCCGCCCAACAGCGAGGATGTCTGGCTTGGGCCTAAGAGAGGCAGTCATGCCGTCTTGCCTTTGAGTCTCGATCGACACCGAGAGTTTTGAAGACACTTCTGGAATGAGGAAAATCCACCTTCATGCTACAGTCGGCATGAGGTAAAGGCACTCCTCCCTGGAGCAGTTGGAGTGAACATGTGAGCACGAGAGTTGCATCTCGAAGACGCAATTTCAGTGCATGCCCATCTTGCCCTCTTTCTGTCGAGGGCCGGCACTGGGCCAGGGCTGGGCCACCGGCCACGCTTGTGGCCACGCTGGTCCGACACTCGTGAGCCGCTCGTGCATGCGCGTCTAGGGCTTAGCGCGAGGGCATTGCTGCAGGCCCTTGAGCGTCATGTTGCCACCTGTGTTTGCGCATGTAGCTTCCGAACTCAGATCGATTGGCGACTGCTGGCCGCCCTCTGTGTCGCAGGTCCTCTTTGGCTCTTCGCACAGTGCACTCCAAAACTGCCCGGTTTCGAGGTGCCGTACGGCCGAGCAGCGAGAATTCGCCCGGGGCGGGCAGTACTTGGCTTAGACTAAGCCGGAAGCCCCTGAGTCCTGGCACCTTTAAAGCCCTCTTGGCGAGGCGTGGCCCTCGCGAGGGCCGAGCCCAAGGTGCCCGAGGCGCCCGAGGCGCCCGGGCCTCGGAGCAGCGGAGAGCGGGCCGAGGGCCGAAGGGGAGAAGCCTGAAGAGCAGAGGTCGGGGCCGCAAGCGGGCCAATGGCAGGAAAGGAAGAAAGAGCTCAAGTTGGTGGCCGCTCTTTCGCACACATAGACATGTCTGAGCCTTCAGCCATTCATGATACGAAGATGTGCCCGCTGCTCCTCCAATTAGCGGCTTTCGCCTTTTCTTTGGAAAGGCTCGCTTCTGGGCAGTGCTTGCTGCCCTTGCAGCGGGAGGCCTGGCCAGAGCGTACCGTTACTGTAAAGGGAGTGCTTCATCCATAGCGAGGCTATGGAGTCTTCTTCCTGCTGAAGAGGGATGAGCGCTCCATGGACGCGAGCAAGCTGTTGAAGATGGCCGGAAGCTTACCACTGCTCCAGGATGCTCGAGGTGATTTGTGTCGAGAAGACGGTGCCTTCTTGGAAGCGGAGCACCGAGCCGCGTGTCCCCAGGTTGCCCTGAAGCTCTACAAGGCCCCAGCTTCCGAGCTCTTTGGAATGGGAGCCGAAAGTTCGACCGAGTCCTGCCAGGACAAGGTCTTTACACAGATGTGACTTGGCGGACTGGTCAGTCTCAGTCTCGCTGGTCGCACCGAAGCTCCACTTAGGTCCTGGACTGCTTGCCTGTTGCTCGCTGGCACTTGGCAGAGATGCGAAGGAAGCAAATCGCTCGTCGTTCCCGCCCTTCGATGCCGGTAAAGGTTTGGCCTCGCTGATCTGCTCGCGCAGCGCGTGCCATCCTACCACGAGAAGTCCAATCTGCAAGTGCCGCGGTTGCAGGCGGCCCCGGCCGGTGCCGCTTTCGAGCCATCTCCTTTCTCAGGATGGGTACAAGATCGGTGGCTGGGACTGGCGGTACACGCTCGCCATCGTGTCCTGTGCATGCCTCTTCCAGGCCCGGCGGGCGGGTGCGGTGCGGGGCGGTGCTGTGGCCCATCACGGCCGCTCCTGGGCCTCTCGGCCTCTTTTGGAGGTGGCAATCCTCGGCCGCTTCTACGAGCACTGCACCCCGACTTTGACTCCGGCCCTTCCGCTCGGCTAAGACTGGCCCCCGTCTGCTCTGGATCCTCAGGTGATCTGCGTTTCGGGACTGCCACGACGTGGCAAGCGGTGACTTGGTTGTATAGGGCTCGCGTTGAGCCGCTGCGAAAACCCACCCCTGCTCAGGCCTTGCTTAAGGCCCTGAAGATGCAGGCAGCCTTCACCTTCGGATACTTGCCCCTCGGGGTTTTCCTTTATGTGTCTGGGCAGCAGGACTGGGTGGAGCAAGGTCTCTTCAATTGCTTGGCAGCATTGCGTTTGTAGCCGCCATACTTCCACCTTTCTGAGGCCTTGTCCATCTGTTTCGTGTTCCGGAGCTTTGCAGACTCGACTGACAACTGCGGCCCCTTGACTGGGGAAGACCACACTACACATGATTAGGACCAGGATGAGGCCAAGTGTTTTTGGAGAGATCCTTCCCCCTTGCATCTTTGCAGTTGAGGTCCGTCCGCAGTGGCCGGGCTTCCCTGGAACCTGGGGAGCGCTGAATCACCGCGAGATGGGGTTTCGCAGGTCGCCGAATGTCGTAAACAAATGGCACCGGCACAGGAGCAGCATCGGCCAGGCCGTGGAGTTGTGGCCAGGACATGCACCGTCAGAGTCCTTAGTGCTCTTGCTAGGCAAAGGTCCTGACGGCAAGCCTGCCTCGGCAATCCAACCTGCTTATAGTAGTGTTTTGTTGGCAAGTCAAAAGAGCTTTGCCGATAGCCTTGGCTCATTGATTTTCACTCCGCCCACTGGCCCATTGGCTTGTTCATGTCTTGTGCGGCCACGGCGAGGAGACTATCTGCATTCTGCGGTGTTCTGGCCGCCAAGCCAGGCAGTGAACTACGCCCTAAACTAAGCGTCTGTGTTATCTGTGTTTGTGTGTGACATCGAAAGTTCTCGGCCGACAAGTGCTCTGCTTCTTTGCTGCCACTGGCAAGGTGCTGATTCATCGCTGGTCCCCAAACTTTCGTCCGATCTTTGACGGTGTGATTGTGCCCCCTCCATCATTTGCCAGCGATGGTGCCCGAACTTCCGTTCGCAAAAGCATTCTTGTGTCAGCCCCGAAGGTGCTGTTCTGGAACATCTTCGTTCTGGCGGGTGGGGCGGAGCGAGAGGCGCCTCGGGAGAGTCGATGCTGCGCGCCGGCCCATGGCGGCGCCTTCCAGGCCGTCGGCCCAACGCTCTTCGGCCCTGCGCCGGGGCCCACAGACAAGGCACGGGCTGTGCTGCGGCCCCCCAACCCTAAGGCCATAAGGCTCCAAGAGCTCTTTCGGCAGGTGCCTCCTTCGGTCGACTGCTCCAAGCACTCCTTCGGCGAGATGGGGCGATGGTCTGCCGAGAGAAAGTTAGCGACGCTTGCCAAAAGCACACGGTTCCTGATTGAGTTCTGCCAGGCTCGGTCAGAAACTCTGTGCATGCCTCAGTTCATGAAACGGGACTGATCCTTGAGCAGTCAGCTGAGCTCAGGTGAGTTGGCTGCTGCTTGTCCTTATAATCATGGATCCAGCAATGAGGTGTAGTCGGTCTTCCCACGCCGAGCCTGCAATTGATTTCCGGTGATGTTCGACATAAAGCATGTGTTGCTTCTCTGCCGCTGCCAATGCGCAATCCAGTTCGCCTGACATCTGAGGAAGCAACCAAGCAAGGCCATGCAACTCTTTAGCTTTGCCAGGTTGAGTGTGTGCCTTCTGACGATAGGCCTGATCCGCTGCTGGGAGAACATCAGCTCGAAGCCTAGGTTCTCCGATCACATCTGCGACCCGAAGTTTGCTTCCGTAGTTAGAAAGCTACTCGTAGCAGCAAGTTTCTGAGGTTGGGCCTTGCAAAACGGCTGGAAATGGCCACTGATGCTGCATCGAGTGTAGCAGAATCCGTCTTGCAGCTGACTGCCTGACTGCAGATCGAACACACCAAGTCAGGTTCAAGCATGGCTTCAACTGCACCCGACAACGGCTGCGCCTTGACTGTGACCAGACCTCTCCGACTCAGTGTGGGTAAACTTAGAAATGATGACGTCAGTGAGGATCTAGCTTAGATTTGTGTTGGGCAAAAGTCAAGGAGGCCCACAAAGGTAGTGCGGGCGAAGGCATTCAGCAGTTCATCAGGTGTGCCTCCGTCGTGGTTCTGTTCTGCTTCCTCCGCTGGTTCGTTGTGGCAGCATCTTGGCGGCAAAGCACTTTCGATTCGAGTTGCGTGGTCAATCACTGACGACCATCTTCTGAGAACTGTACGCTGTCACAAGGCTGCTCTTCGCGCTACACAGTCACAGGTAGTCAGGAGCTGCCGGCTGTTCCACAGGTGTTCTACTACCTTGGCTACTGCATCATGGTTCTCCTGACCATGGCGCGGGTAGGTTTGTACTGGACTTTTGCGATCATCAAGGCAGGTCGGGACAGCATCCCCATTGGTGCCGTTCAGCCGTTCATCGATGTTTGCGCAAGCGCCAGAACAGCGTGCTTTCAAGGGAACCGTCATGCTCTTTCTGGCGATTGCAGACTTCTGCAAGAACTGTGGCTTGGCCTGGTTGTGAATCGGGTGAAGACATGTCCTGTTGCAAGTCGAGCCGTCTCTGCAAGCTCAGGTATGTTCATGTGGTTCATCCCTGACGTCTCCAGTATTGGAAAGGGATGCTTCTACTGTGTGTTCTGGCCGAAGAAGGGCCAGTGGCCAAAGGAGGCCGGCTCGGAAGAAAGGATCCTTTCTAATTGTGGATTGGAGCTTTGGAGCTTTGTAAGGTGTGCGGCCAAGCGCCTGCTTTTGCAGCCTGGGCCCGGAGCTCGGCCGAGCCGTCGGTCATCTCTCACTGCTGGCCATGGAAGCGTTAGTGCATTCGAGGTGCCACCCTTCTGCCCACACTGCTACTAGTTGGACCCTGGCGGTGTGAACAGAAAAGACTGGCAGACTTTCTCTTTCATCGGAGACCTGGCAATCCTGAAGATTGAACTTCAGATGCTAGACGATGCCACAGGCACATGGGATCATCTAAGATTGACGCGTCTTGCAAACGGGTGGCGTAGTGTATGTAGTATGTAGCCTCATCTTAAGTGCCCGATGTATGCTTCGTTGCAGCTGTCTGGAAGTGGCTTCGTGGGAGGGCCATTGATGTCACGTAAGCAACTTCCGTTTTATTCGTCATGTAGTGATGTCGCAGAGCACTTTGGTGTTGCAGCGCTCAGCTTTGCTAGATCCGAGCCTCACCAGCTTCAGCATCAACGTTCGGCATGCTAACAGATTGCCAAAGCTACCGATAGGTCTTCTACTCATTGCCTTACCTTGTCGCATGTCTCTCACCTACTCCTCCCGAGCATTCGTGCTTGCTGGAGAAGGGGTTGGCCAAAGCGCCTTCCCACGCTTGTGTCGCGAGTGCGAGTGCCTCAGAGATCACAGTGACAGCAATTCCTCACTGTGCCACATTATGGCATGCACTCTGATGTGTTCACATGCTGGGTAGCAGAAGGACGTCGTGTCTGAGGCTACGGTGCAGGCGAGACGCCCCAAAGATCGAAACAAAGAGTTCGAGGCGACAGAGCTGCAATCCAGACATGTTGCTGCAACGCCAATGTAAGGGCTTGTTCTGGAGCTGCCGCTTCACGTTTCCACCTGAAGTTGTTGCTGACCCCATTGGGACCGGTCTGAATGCAAGGCAGGGCGGACGCATTGCTCCTTGAAGACCCATTGAACCGGGGGCCTACGGTTGAACTCAACTTCGTTGAGGCTGCTTGTGATTGTCAGAGCTCAGTTTTGCCTGATGGTTGTCCTACTGTAGCCACAGAGAACCCTTCAGGTGCCCTGCTGGTGGGTGGAGGCGGATCTCCGGAGCTGCCTGTGACCTGGACCCGAGCATAGGATTCGCCTGGTGAACCTAACAGTTCAGCTTGTGAGGTGTGAGGGAGCGGAAGTCCTTCAGCGACTGCGCAGTGCTGCTGGTGGATGTTTGTAACGCTGACAGCTTTGATGCCGCGAGACTACGAGGCCGCGGCCAGCATGGCCGTGTCCGGGCGTTCCGTTTCCGAGAGCTCGCAAAAAGAAGCACGTAGGCCAGTGGGCCATGGCTGCTGGCCTTCGCTGCGTGACTGTGCGATCTTGGACACTTGGCGACTGCACCGGGCAGCTATCGCCGTGCCCATTGAGGTACTGAGCTTCTCCGGACCATGTCAGGGGAAAGCCTTCCCGTCCCCGTCCGGAGCCTCTGACTGGAGGGAGACTGCGCAGTAGGAAGCGTGCTCTGAGGCTCCGTTCCCGGCTCGTGCAGCAGGAGAGACTTGATTGGCTCTCAGACGAGATGAGCCTGGCAGCACCCTTACCGGAGAGATATCGGGAAGGCATAAGCCAAGGGAAATCGCGCAGTAGCATGAAGTCGTCACAGATACGCTGCTTCGGAATCTGATGCCAGACAGACCCAGTTCCGTCGGCAGCACTGGTTCTTCGTTGCAGCTCAGAGCTGCAAAAGTTGTTTGAGTCTCCTTGATGCATCCCATTCACGGAAATTTGCAAGAAAAAGGCGAAAAGATTGGTGGGCCATGAAGTGCACATTGTGGTTGCCCAGTGCAACAGGAGAAGGCTACGGGGTCTCCTTGGGGTCTCCTTGCCGCGTCTGAAGGCCTTCCTTCGGGGCCTCGCAACATGCAAGAAGCGATGTCGCCAGCCCTCCGGTCTTCACGCAGAGGGTGCGAACCTCACCGGCCCTCATCCCGCGGACACAGATGAAGCAGCCCGATGACAAGCGCGTGCTCGTTGGTCGTGACGTGCCAAGACTGCCTGCAGCGAAATGTGTGCAAGCTTCACCAGAGAAGCGGATCTTCGCGAGAACTATTGGAAATTACAGTAATGAGTTTTGTCAGGGGATGTCGTTCGGGAAGCCAGGAAAGACTGCATACATCATATGGTTGCGCATGTGACGGGTGTGCATGCTGCAGTCCAGGGGGTCGGGCAGAGTTCTGCAGAGTTGGAAGTGGCGCTCCCAGGTGAAGCCTTCCCACTTCGACTGCACACTGGAGGCTGTGACTTCGCTTGTGATGTTGTCCTCGTTTCACATCTGGTGTCATGTGCGTTCGAACCGAGACAGAGACTGTAAGTGTTCAAGCCTTCGGCCGCCTTTGCAGGCGATTGGATCTGGGAGCCCTCAGTTCCAGCTCGAGTGCCCTCCGTGCACTTGAGGGCTTCAGTGGTCAAAGGTTTTTCCGTCTATGTCTCGAGGCTCTTCTTGAAAGTGCTCACGCTGCGGCTGCTGTGGCTGAACCTGGCTCCGATAGAGGCAAGCGGATCGCAAGCCAAGGCCAGGCCTCGCTGGTCAAACTCCGTCGGTGTTGCTACACTGTCACATACTGTCACTGAGCTATTGCATTCTGGCATGAGGGGTGCTCGGCTGATGCTCAGAGCATGTCGAAGGGATCGTAGCGCTGGGAAGCACGCTGTCACATCCACTACGTGCCCATCGCAACTAGCTGAAGGAGTCCTTGCCAGTTCCCTTGCCCAGGGGTCCCTTCGTCCCCTGTCCTTTCAGCACTTCCTGGCCAGCCTGCCTCGAAAGAGTAAAAGAGGCACCTGCGAGCCTCTCCACGCCATCGTCACGCCGCTGGACCGGCCCCGCGCCACTTGGCATCAACGAGTTTCATCTGAGCTGACCGGGATTCAAGAGGACGCTTGCGCTTGCCAGGCTGAGTTCGCGCTCGGACTCCGCCCTGTCCTCGTAGGGGACGTGACAGCGGGACGCCGTGCTTGGTGTCCCTTCGCTAGGTCCCGGCGCGCCGCCAGCCCCATGCTCGGAGGCTCAGGCCGCTGCCTTCCTCGGGCTGCGCTTCTCCCCAAGGCCGCGGCAAGGTGCAAGTCCAGGTCCACCGCGATGTGCAAGCGCCCAAGCAGTCCAAGATCGAAATCCAATCAATCTAGGAGCACAAAGCACCTCAAAGCACCTCAGCTGAGGCTCACATCTTGCCGGCCCGGTACATGCCTGGAATTCGGACTGCTCCCGATGGACCTCCCCGAGGCGAGCAGGTGGTGTGATGAATAGAAGTCACAATAAGGGCAACTGTAACTTACAGGATCGGCCATTTGTGGAACCTCTCATAAGCCAATCAGCGAAGGGCAATATGCATTCGAGCCATGCAGCCCCGTGCAAGCACGAACTCTGCTTGTATGAGCTGCGTGTGCATGGTCCGGTGAAGTGCGAAGTCATGATTGGGAGCAGCAAGATGTCGGTCACCCGTGCGGGCAATTTGTCGGATTGCATACGCCAGCCCTGAGCCCTAAACCATCAGCCGCACGACAACCGAACGAATCAGACGCCCCGAGGCCCGAGGCCCGAGGCTCCTTCAAGAGCCCGAGCCCTCAGGTCGCACGTGGTGGGGATCCGAGCCCAGGAGTGGCCGTGCAGAGCCTTGAACGGCCGTTCCTGGCCCTAGCATTGCATACTGCCATAGACTGCTCCTTCTAGCCCGGATGGCAGCATTCTAGGCAGCATGCTTACCTCTTTCCTCGAGGAGTGTGTCTCCACGACGGCCCTCACCGCCCGTGCAGTGGAGTGAAGTAGCCCAGCATTCGGAGGGCTTGGTTTGCCGATGCATTTGGGCCCTGAGTCACGGGCTTCGCATGCCCAGGTTCACGCCAAGCTGGCCGCAATCGTAGCCCCCTTCAAATCCGGCGCCGGTCCGAATCCGCTGGGCGTTGGGGTCCAAGAGCACGGGATTTCTCCATCGAGGCTTCAAGCGAAACCGGGAAATCTAGCCTCAGCCTCAGGTTCGGAGCCTCACGAGACGATGGCCAGTGAGGCTGGGGAGGGGGAGGGCGGCATCGACTGCGCGTGCGAGGCGAGAGTTTGCGGGGTTGGGGTTCAGTAGTGGGAACCTGGGGACCCCAAGGGCGAGGACGTGCGGAGCAGCGATGGCAACCCGGCCTCCTTGGCTGCGGCCGAAGCCAAGCGCCTCGCCATGGCCCAAAAGCAAAAGCGCAGCCTCTAAGTATTTGCAGCCTGCGCGCATGTTTAGCGAGTCTGCGCAGGTCGCCGCAGGGCCCGGGCCGCCGGCCCCGGGACCCTTCCGTCGGCCTCAGCAAGAACAAGAGCGTCGAAAGTCCGTGGAGTTGTCCGGGACTGGAGTTCGTCATGGCTCCTGCGTCTTTCGAAGCTATCGGCATTTGCTCAGCAATGCTCGGAACGTCTGATACAGGACCACTAGCAACGGAGCGCATCCGGAGGACGCAGGGTCTTTCGGCAACAGGGGGGCTCTTGCTTGCAGAAGAACACATGAGTTGCCTTTGCTTGGGTTTGAGGAGGATGCCCCGCTGGAGACGGTCATCAACCTGAGCACCTTAGCGGAGCGGTCTCGTGAGGTGCCGCAGTGCGTGTTGGTTCGAAACGTGGGGAAGGTCCTTGCACCCCTCCGCCCGGGCGTTTGCCTTGCCAGCCGGCCAAACCAGATGCCATCGCGCACGGGCACGGGCATGCACTTGTGAGCGTCCAGCCATTTTTAGCACCGGTGTGCTTCCCGAGCGCTCCCTTTTCGTCGCGATTCTGAGAGCACCAGTGCATCATGCAGGGAGTGAAGAGGAGAGCCTTGTTGCTGGCACAGCTTGGGGATGGGGCTGCTTCCGGCACTTAAGACTTGGTGAAATGAGCTGTGCATGAGCGCAGCAGAGCGGAGCAGAGCGGAGCCTGCCGCAGGCGGGGCCTTCCAGATCGGCCGCGGGCCAGGCAGACGGCCAGGCTGTGCTTTCGGCCGTTCTGAGCCGCTGCAGGAGAGCCCGCCTTCGAAGCGTTCATGCGTGTTCAAGGCGCCTGTGGTGGCCATGCAAAGCACATCTGAAGGGCCAATCAGCAGTTCCAGTCTTCGAGTGTTCGCGACTTCTCCTTGTTCCCGTGCCTTGGTTCAATGTGCTTTCCAGGAATTGCGAACCATCATGCTCACTCGTGAAGTCTGAAGCCCAGCTTGCCATCCCTCTCGACCCGACGGCAAAACACTACGAAGTAGATAAGCCTGAAAGTTGCACAGAAGCAGCATTCAACTGCAGAATGAAGCAGCTGCTGCGCAGAGCCAGCCGCCATTCGCAACTCCGGCCTTTACCGAGTGCCGCGCCGGCGCTCAGCGCGCTTCCTCGGCCGGGTGTGGGTTTTAGAGAGACTCGGGCGCCGACACCGTCAGCTCTTTTGGGGCCTCGGCCTCCCTTTGCGGGCTTGGGATGCTTGGGCTGGGGCTCCGGTTCCGGTACCAAGCGTGCGTTTGCGACGAGGAACCAGACCCACTATCAAGTGCTGGGTGTGTCCTCGTCAGCCTCGCAAGCAGAGATCAAGAAGGCATATCTCGGCGAAGCCAAGAAATGCCATCCAGATTTGAACCCTTCTAAGGATGCGAAAGAGAAGTTCCAGCAGTTGGCGGAAGCATACCAGGTGTTGGGCGACCCTGACAAGCGCCACCAATACGATGAATTCCTGCGCACAGGAACGTCGCAGAGCTTCAGTGGAGCGCGGCGTTCCCAAGGGGCCCAAGCGCAAGGCTTTCAGGCTGCTCCGCCGCCGAGCGACTTGGACCCCTTCGAGCTCTTCCGGGCTGTGCTGGAGGCCGTAGCTGGGAGAGGGAAGGGGGCGTTCGGAAGCTATTTATTCTATTTCAGAGATTCTGTGTGAGGAGCTCGGCTCGGAACGTCTCATGGGACGCGTGCGCACGGTTCAGAAGGAGGCCGGCGATGCCAGCGTCGCCGCGCAGGCCGGCGACTTTGCGCCTGCCAAGGCCTTCATTTGGAAGCACAAAGGCCTCGCAGCCTCCGTGCTATTGCCCCTGGGCATCGTCCTGCGTTTTCCGGGCCTCATTGGAATGGCCCTGCGGGTCCTGGGTCTGGTCGCCGCGGCCACATTGCAGAACCCAGCCATGCGCGAGATGTTCGCCAGATGGACTTGGCTCCAGTGTCGTGCTCAGCGCTTCAGTGTTGCATGCAGTGAGGTGTTGTTAAAGACACGTTAATCACTTGAGTCTGGCTCCCTTGTTTGTTGGCACTTTCGGAGGTGTGGTGAGTGTAGTGTAGATCAGCAGCAGAGACGCACCAACTGCTACTGCAGCAGATTGGTGAGTGCGAGCCCTCGGCCCTCCAGGTGGCGCTTGCTGGTGCAGAGAGCTGCCAGGCGGGCTCACGAAAAGAAGCGGTGAGGAACAGATCGTGGCTCGTGACTCTTTGGTTGCAGAGACACTGCAAGGAGGCCTGAACGAAAAGTCTGTGAGGCTGCAGGGCCCAGCCGTTAACATCCATGACAACATTTCGACAGGTCTCGGTTACCGTCCGTAAAACCCAGCCTCTCTGACATGTCTTGGCGTTCGCTTGCTACGATCAAATTTATGAGTTTCGGATCAAGCCTCATCGTTTCGCCACTTTGCGAAGTGGGCCGGGGGCCGACCGCGTGCCTTAGCACCATGTCCATGAGACGTGGATGCACTCTTCGCATTTTTTTGTGTGGCCGCTGCGGAACGGTGATGTACGGTGCAAGATGTGTTACAACTGGACTCAGGAGAGGGACACTCAAAAAGTTCTTTGCCGAAAAGGGCATAGGCGCCGGATTGACAGATTACCACGGCATGTTTCTGCAAAAGCCATGTCTGTTTGGACTTCACTTCAAGAACGGTCTGCTGTTGTGGAGGTTACATAGCTCCTGATGATGGCAGCGAGGACGTGTTCATCCACTTTCAGTCGCTGGTAAACGGTGGCGCCTTGGTCTTGAGATTGTGTTTTGTAAATCGCGACCTCTCCCCGGGACAGGTGATAGGCACCTGTCCAAGTTTGCCACCTCTGGTTAATGGTTAAGCTTCTAAAGTCTTCGAAAGGGGAGTGCTTGGTCTTCGAGGCCTGGCAGTTAAGGTCTGGCGTGCGGCCGTTTTGCCGTTGTATTTCTCAAGTGCGCAGGATGTTCTTAGTTTTTGTTTCAGAGTCCGTGGGCCATGGCGGCATCCCCGAGCCTTGTCTTGCAGGTCCGCCCCGCAACTCCCTTCACCGGCTTGCCACGTTTTTGCGCCGGTGAGGACCACGCGGCTTTGCCACCGAGACTTTCGGGACATGAGAGAAGTGCCTGTGTGCTGCTGATCGCCTCGCTTGCGGTGCAGTCGGGGCCGGGGCGGCGGGGTTGCCGTTCCCGCACTCGTTGTCGTGTACGCGAACGCCGAGGCCAAGGTTTCGGCCTTCCCGGAGGAAAGCAGAGCTGGACCACTGGCTTGACAGCCTCTCCTGTGCCAAATGCCTTGGAGTCATGGCTAGGTAAGCTTGATCCATCTGTTCGTGAAGTCATCAAACGCATAGAGAAGCACTACGGTCACCAAGCTTGGATAGTTGGAGGCGCCGTGCGTGATGTGCTGTGTGGCTACAAGCCAGCAGATGTGGACGTTGCGACTACGATGACCCCCGCGATGCTGCAACAGATATTCCCTGATCTTATTATGACCGGTGCGAAGTATGGCGTCGTGACTGTGAAACACAAAGGCTGCCTGGTGGAGTGTGCGCAGCTCCGCAAAGCACCAACGGGTTCAGACGGGGCACGCCAAGAGCACTCCGAGCTTGCAGACAGTCTTCTGGAAGACTTGCGATCCCGCGACTTCACTGTGAACGCAATGGCGGTGGACATGACCCGCAAGGTGATGTACGATCCCTTCGATGGAAGAGGCGATGTGAAGGATCGGCGATTGAGGGCTGTGAGCCGACCTTCCGAGCAGATGATGCGACAGGACGGTCTGAGGGTTCTGCGTGCCTACCGCTTCTGGGCGGCGTTCAGTGAGGTCCCTTGGATACTGCATGAAGGCTTAGCCACTGCACTTCGGGAGGTTGGAGGCCAGCTCTTAGCGAACACTGCCAGACAAAGAATTCTGAGCGAGCTGAAGAAGATCCTGAGCCGCCCCAGAGCTTGGGAAGCCATGAGGCAGATGGCGGAAGATGGGGTGCTTTCTGCCATCCTGGGTCATCCTGTAGATGTGGAAGGCCAAGAGCTGAGCGCCCTGAAGGCCCTCTACACGCTTCCCCAAGTGACCGCATCCCTGGCACGCCAGAGGCCCAGGGCGCTGGAGAGGCCGGTGACCTACAACCAAAACACTGGACGGAAGGGCCCAAGGCTCTTTGAGGATCCGCTGAAGCGAGGAACGCCGGCCAAGAGACCTCAGCCCTTCGAGTTCTACGCAGTGGTCGACTTCGAGGCCACCTGCTGGGAGCAGGGCCAGACGGCGACATCCCAGGAGATCATCGAGTTTCCGGTGGTGCTGCTGCACGCAGCCTCTGGAACCTGCGTGGGTGAATTTCACAGCTTCGTGAGGCCGAGTTCCGAAAAGAGGCTCTCGCACTACTGCAGGTGTCTGACAGGCATCTCCCAGTCCACCGTGGACGAGGCTCCCCACTTCAAGGAAGTGGTCGCCAGCGTGTCGTCCTGGCTGCAGGAGAGAACCAACGGAGCCGACATTGCCTGGGTTGCAGATGGCGAGTGGGACCTGGAGGTGCCGGCTCCCGGAGAGTGCTGCAGTCCTCATTTACTCTCATGATTCCTTGTCAGGATAAGTGCTACAACTAGTGACTAGTGACTTGTCAGGCTCTCTTGCCTCTTAGCTGTGTGTGCCAGGAGATGCTGCCTGCCCAGTGGAGGCGAAGCTTCGGGGAAGCCCGTATGCCTGAAAACTGGAAGCAGTTCATCGACGTACGCCAAGTTTTCCAGCAAGTTCACCCAGGCATGCTGAGGCCAGGAATCGGAAAGATCCGGATGATGTGCGAGTATCTGCACATCCCGAACTTGGGGCCTCTCCACTCTGGAATCGCCGACACGCGCAACGTCGCCCGCATCGCGCTGATGCTCATGTGGGAAGGTGCTGTCTGTCAGGCGTTTCCACCCAGAGGTGCCCAGCGGCTCCCTCGCCCCTTCCCGTCACCTCAGCCCAAGAAGGAGGTGAAGACGACGAAGGCGAAGGTCAAGTGCCAAACAACCTCTCGGAACATCCAAGCTTTCGAAGAGGCCATGACTCTCATGTTGGCACGCATGGATGGTGACGAGGCTCTAGAACTTATGAAGCAGTTGCACTTCAGCAAGGTAGAGCAGAGATTCGTCACGGAGCATGTGCATTGCCTCGGAGAGCTTCCAGCTGCCAGGGATGAGGGAGCAATCCGCCGATTCCTGGTCGCCTGCGGAGAGGACTTCGCCTTCGCGCAGCTGCGGCTGGAGCGAGCCTGGCTCTTGGGCGCCTCCTTGGAGGCGGAGCCGGAGCCGGAGCCGGTGCAAAAAAAAGAGCCCGCAGCGCTCGCGCAGCTCGCGCAGCTCGCGCAGCTCGCAGAGTTGGAGGAGGCCTTGGAAGCGCAGCTCAGGGACAAGGAGGCCTGGGAGCGGCTCCAGAAGCCGCTGGCAGATGGCCGCTGGATCCAAAAGGAGACGGGCTTAGACTTAGACATGGTGGGCCCCATCAAGGAGTGGCTCTACTACCAGCAAGTTGACCAAGACCTGAAGTCCTTAGAGGATCTAAGGGACCAGCTTCAAGGCCTGGGCATGGAATCTTTGGAGATGCAGTCGGCGCCGATGGTGTCATGGCCACCGGACAGAACCTGCAAGCAGCTTCCATCCAAGAAAAGAAGGTGCTCAGATGCCGCAGTACCGGACTGCAAGAACAAAGCATCGAACTTTCCCGGTTACCCCTCTTAAGCATCCCTGTCATCCCTGCCTCAAGGCCTGAACCCAGTAACCTCGGAGACGAGTTCCAGCAACTGAATCAGTGATTGCCCGGGCTCAAAAAGATGGCCGAGGAGAAGCCGACATGATTCCAGGAGCGAAG